AGAGTGGCTTTCAGGTTTTGTTGACTTTCTGCAACCTTGTCAACTGAAAGAGAAAACATTTATTTAAATGGTTTACTTTTTTAATGTAACATTTTTGTGCTTAAGCACTCACTTTCAGGCGGCAGAGCACCACAGCTGTCTGTATGGTCATTGTTGAGGTCCTCTTTACACTCTGCAAAACAACACAAAGATCAGAAGAGACCAAACGCTGCATTCACTTAACTGCGTGTATCTACATGTATCTACCTTGCGTTGCTGAGAAGATATTGATGTTTATGTTGCCAACATTTGAACCAATTATGGAAGGAGCGACCACGTTGCCACCACTCTGTGCAGTGTAGTTTGGCTGGAAGTGATGAACCGCAGCCTGAATAAAGGGAACTGACTCGGAGAGAAAGCAAGAATAAGAGATCACTGAAGAAAAATGGTTGCTGGTGCTTTTCAGATTATCTTTTTGTTGCCTTACATTCAAAAAAAATTACACTTACCTTCAGAGAAATCATCTGTTTTATCACTAACGATTGATTGGTCCATTTTCTTTTTACAGTACTATAATCCTCATGTAGTTTCTGTCAGGGAATACTCCTTGTCCTCAGTCTTTATCATCTCTGACTGTTCACTGAAGATATTTGCTTCCAAACAGTCAACTAGATGGTCAATAAATACATTAAACAAACCCTATTTTTTACTGTTACAAATCTGCTAAGACACCATTAAATCTAACAGACCAGAAGACGAATGCATGGCTGCTTACTAAAGTGAAACTGCCACTTAAATAACACACTGGCAGATGGTATTAACGGTGAAGGTTACTTCCTGAGAAAAACAGGAAGTATGATTTCTTGCATGCACAGACAGTCTGCCTTCTTAAACAAACCACAAAAGTTTCGTTTACTAAAAAATGTAAATGTCAAACAGCTGCAAGATATTTTGCTTTGTTTTATTGATTGATTGATTGATTTTGGACAAACTGACTCGGTATCCAACAACAACAAAAAAAAAACAGCAGTTTTTTAGGGTAAATGTAACAACCAATACATCAGACACAGATTCACACACAGGCAGCATAAATACAGTGACAGAAGACATGTAAATTATGCAAAATCAGTATACCCAAACACAATTTTCACAAACGGCCTGGAAGCACGGTGGCACGGTGGTTAGCACTGTTGCCGCACAGCAAGAAGGTCCTGAGTTCAATTCTACCATCAGGCCGGGGTCTTTCTGTGTGGAGTTTGCATGTTCTCCCCGTGTTTGTGTGGGTTCCCTCCGGGTACTCCGGCTTCCTCCCACCGTCCAAAGACATGCAGCTTGTGGGGATAGGTTAATTGGATAATCCAAATTGCCACTAGGTGTGAATGTGTGAGTGCGAATGGTTGTCTGTCCCTGTGTGTTGGCCCTGCGACAGACTGGCAACCTGTCCAGGGTGTACCCAGCCTCTCACCCTATGACAGCTGGGATAGGCTCCAGCAACCCCCGCGACCCTGAAAAGGATAAGCGGAAGCGAATGGATGGATGGATGGCCCAGAAAGTCCCAAATCAGAGAGAAAATAAATCAGATGAATATGACAGAATATTTCAACAACACAATGGAACTTTTTGAGCTGTTAAACAAAAAAGTGTAGGGTAGGGTATTCATTCTGAAACTAAACAAATAAAAAACGTACTTTATAAATACAACGAAGTCAAACAAAATCATCTTCTATATCCTAATATATTGGAAAGGTTTTACTTATATTTTTTTGTCAGTTTGACCAAATTCTTAACACGACCAGGATGGAGGAGCCTTTGGTTTATCTTTATTGAAACTGGGAATGCTATGAGTCAAGCTTGTTTTATTCTACAAATACAGGCCGTTTATTGTTTTATAATTGTCTTATAATTGATAAAAAAAAAATCACTAGCCAGTAATAAAAATTAACCTCCTAAGACCCGAACGCTTTCATGGCATGCATTTTTTATTTCTCTTTGATATTTGGGCTGATTGGGACCCAATGAATGTAAAAACAAAAAATTACCTGATTTTGTTTTTTTATACCTGATTTTTGTTTCTGAGAAAAATTAGATCCACATATGATGACATTCGTTTTCAATTTTGATAGAAGAGTGGCAGTTTAATGTCCTCGTAAGTGGAAATCAGGCCCTTGTAGCGAATTTGGTATTTTGGTCTAGACAACCCAAAATGTGATGTCCGCATATGTGGATGCCAGGTCCTAGGAGATTAAAGTGAAACCAACTATTTCTAAGCACTAAAATGGTGAAGACAGCAAACCCACTCTGGAAACTAAGAAACCAAAGTTGACTAAAAACAGAAATATAAAAACAAAACACCAAAATGTAACACCTCAGCCATAAACAGGGATAGTCTCTTTATTTGCCCTCAAATTCCTCATACACGTCACATTTTACTCCACTGGAGGTTCTTATCTAGAGTAGATATGATGTCATCACGTTGTCTAGCAACCACCTACAAACCCATTACCCATTTGTGGGGTTTGTACGCCTACAGTACCTTATAAAAGTATTGCATTGCTTTCATTTTGCAATAACAACACCTCATTTAGAGAATAGAATTACCCCAGCCTACAAAATCATCATAATGCATATAAATATGCAACCATAATGAAACTTATACACTTTATGCAGGTGGATATTGTCTGGAAGATGTGTGTAGTAGTAGCCTCATTTCTTAGACATGAGATAGCTGACATTGTTTTTTAACACATTTTTTTAATACATTGATGTAAATACTTTTTTCTGTATACAAACACACTTTGTCCTCAATATTTATCTTTATTTAGATTAGAAAACATTTTCTAGTGTGATTATGTATATCAGTTTACCAACAGCATGAACAGTTAGTGTGATATTCTGTTATCACACTAGCATCAAATTTTACTGAAACCTGTAATTCATGGATTTGTATTAGACCTGACTAACATCATTTTCCTAGTCTACAGGATTGCCATAATATTATTAGTCATCATCAGCATCATTTATCTCAAAAAAGTGAAATAAGAGTAAAGCTTCTGAGTGAACGTCTGGGTTTAGATCAGAATGGTTCTGCTTTCTTAAAAAATATCCAGTCCTAATTTTTGCTTTTACATTTTATTTAATGCAACTTCAGACAAAAAACATAAAAGATAATCAAATCATTCTTCCCAATAAAAAGAAACAAATTGATTCTACCAAAATAGAATATTGCATATAAAAGCATTAGCGTGGGATCAGTCACTGAAAAGAAGTTAAAAACATATTTGTTCACAGTTTGGTTTCACACTCTCAGACCTACACACTGTAGCTGTGCTTGTTGAACACAAGATGGAAGCAAAGTCCAAGTTGTGCTTTGTCTTCAATCTTAATGACCTTATAGTACAACATCACCCCATTAGAGCTCTTCACTGTTAGGCTTTGGCCTTACTTGTGGTTCCTAGAGAACTGAAAAGTAAATTGGGATACAGAATCAATATAAAGTGCCTTGAGGCAACTGTTGTTGTGATTTGGCGCTGTATAAATACAATTGAATTGAATTGACAGGCACCAAACACCATCTAGCTACAGCTAGGGCAGTAGGTTCAACAATGGAGGTGCTGAATGTGGTCCATTCATACTCAATGTCCCCAGTCTACCTTGGAATGATGTTGTAGTTCTGCCAAAGGTGAGAGTTGAAGATTTCAGGGAAGGGGGCCTGTGTTATGTGTTCCCAACACACCCTCTCTATACGTTTGGGTGCAGCACCAGGCCTGTCAAGTGTCCTGCCCCCAACACCTGATCCAGCTCACCATTATTAGTTGACAGCTCATTTGTTCAGTTTCCATACAATTTAGGCAACAGCCTATATTGTTAATGATCTGGTTACCTTAAAAAAAAAACATAACTGGTAAAAAAAAAATCCTCCAAAAAGTTTTTTTTAAATTATTTGAACTTTAAAGTAGATGCTTCTTTATTGTAGTTGTAATTAAGTATTGCTTTCATTTTCTCTTTATCTTGACAAAGGCACATTTTACTTAATATTTTATAAAGAAAGGAAAATATTTTTTTCTGTTGTGTCATATGTTTCAGAACTTTACTTTTTTGAATTTAAAGTAAACAATTTTTGATTAAAAATGCTTTATATGCTATATTTATGAATATAGCATATAACTCACTCTACCATTTATCATTTTTAAAATAATAACTATTATTAGTCGTAGTAGTAGTATTCATTTTCTATGGGTTTAATTTGCTTTTATCAACAAGATCATTAACTTGAATTTTAGATTGAATCTGACTGTAACAGACTCATCATCAGCATGGATCATCTTAAAGGGTTTGAGTTGTACCCCAAAAAGTTGATTCTGTTCATCTGGACGTAGCGTTTTCAGTGGGAGAAACATTTTGTCACTCAGCCAACTGACTTCAGTCTCACCCGAATGCAGGTTTCCCCAACCTTTTAAACAGTATATTGGCATAAAAATGGAAACTAGCACCACTGATGAACAATGGACTGTGAGGTCGCATTATGATCATTAATATGCAAATTGTCATTAATCTTGCACTTCCTTGCAGGGATATTTAATCAAACACAACAGTACAGGAACTTTACTGGTTTGAAACATTTCACTTTCTCAAGAATATATTTGATAATAACAATGTCTTGTGAATCAGATTTTCAACTTAGAAAGCAGGGCCTGTGGAACACAAAACAAATAAATAAATACAAATTTTTAAAAAACAAAAATTGTGTTGTTCAGTCTCCTCACACGTGAAATAAATAATAGAAAGTCTTCTTTGGATTTAAACTTACTTAATATTATGTCGATCATCATCTTCTCCAAGACTCTTCTCTGAAGGTTTTCCACGTGTTCTGAAACATTTATCTGTGCTTGTGGAAGTTGCTGGGGGTCTGGCAGTGCATTCTGAGCTCTAGAGCAAAGTCACAATTTTTACTCACAATATACTACTCTTGTGCAATTGGTGCACTGAAGATATTACTGTAACTATATTCAACTCTCATGTCCCTAACAACTGATGATGTATTTTTAAACAAATAGAAGCACAAGAAATTTTAATTAAACATACTAACCTTTCCAATGCAGTTTTAAAGTTCTGCAAATAAAAAAGAAAAGTATTAGACATTATTTGGTCTGCATTTAATCTTTGTTATACTTTGAATAATTACCTGCACGAATGAGCTATTAGGTCCTAAAAGCTTTTCTATGTCTTTCACAGTGTCAGAGAGTGAAAGGGTGTCTCTGTGGAGATCTGTCAACCTCTGTATCGTATTAATCTTTTGAGTCTCTTCTTCTTTTAATGCTGCTATTCTGGCTTCTTCCTCTCTCCCCAGGAAGAGTCTAAACTTCTCAAAATCCTCCCGAATCTTCTTCTCTGTGTCATTCCTCTGAGTCTGTTTGTTACAGAAAAAAACAACCTGTCATCTTCTTCAGCTCTTAACATGTTTAAGATTTAACAAGCCAAAATTCAACAGGTACCTTAATATGTTCAGTTGATAAGTTGCACACTTGCTTGATTCTTTCAAAAGCTTCCTGCTTTCCTATGACATTCTTGGAAAAAGTCTGAAATAAAAGTACTCCTTCATTTAAAAGAACAAGAAAGAACTGAAGAAAAAGATCTGTGGGTGTGTGTCAATCAGAAATGCAAGTTTAAGTACAAATTACACACACCCTTCTATCATAGTTTTAGGCGCAACAAAGAATTTAATGCAATTTAGCTAAGTCAATAGTTAAAAGTGTCTTCACCTGGTGTGGCTCTGATGGGACATTTCTGTGTCCTTCTAATGTATCAGTGAGTCTTCCTTGTTTGTATCTTTCACTCAAACTCTTCAGAACAAAATTAGGCAGAGGTTCAGGATTGTAGATGACTTGACGACAGATTGAGCATTTTTTATCTTTTTTCACTCTCCAGTGGTCTTGCACACAGTCCTTACAGAAGCTGTGGCCACACTGCAGCGTCACAGGTTCAGTGAAAATACATAAGCAAATTGGACAAGATATATAATCAGTGACAGATGATTCTTGTTCACTGTTTGTGATGATTTCCATTCCAAATTCTTCATCAAGTATTATTGGGCTGAATAATGCCGGTTTTTTTATATATCTATCGCATACTATTTTAGGTATGACCATTTTGGGCATATGGAGTGTAGGATTAGAAGGTGTCTGCACTTTCACAGTCCGGCGTGATTTTTCTGCAAATGGAAAAATTGTTAACAATCTTAATATGACACTTCTTAGTTACAGCTCGTTAAAACAAAACATTACAAATGAATTAAGATTTATATTTTTTGCATGATGTGGAAAGATATATAGCAGTTAAACTGCAATATCATGACATTTTACCTTCGGTTAACTTTATTGCGAGGTCATTGAACTTCATCCTAAAGAAAATGTCGATTGTAACCTCTACAGCACCGTCTTTGCTGTAAACTTGCACCAGCTTGTCAATAGTGTCTTCTCTGGTAGCATTCTGCAGCTGGGACTTTGAGATAGGTCGGGATCCTTCTCTCATATTCAGAGCCAAGTACCACTGAAAGCTCTTTAGCTCAGAGTCACTTAGCTTATCCAGGTAATCCCTAAGCCATTTTTCATTTTGCACCAGGGTACACATCTTTAGCTGTCAAAAAGTCAGGTTGAAGAGGCAAAGTCTGTTGTTGAATGTCGTCTTCAGATGTGTGGGCTGATGGTCATAGACAAGAAACGAGATGTTAGGATTCATTTATGAAAGAACACAAAAAATATCCTCAAGAGCCTTATTTAATAGATGAAAGCTGAGCTGATGGCTGTGTTCAAAGGCAATTATTTGTGTGAAAAACCAATCTGAAGATAACTTTTAATTATCCAACTGGATGAGGTGATGTGCAGGCTCAAAAATTTTAATTTTTTTTTTTATTTTATAATAAATTAAATTAAATATATTTAAGTGATTGTATGGGATATGCTTAAATTAAATTGTTTCAATTCTGTATCGTTTATAAATGTCATCATAAAATGAGGTGAAGGTCTTGCAGTATCTCAAAGGCAAACCAAATAACTCTCTATTGACTCCTTCAATTTAATTTTCTTCTATTTAAACAAGAATAAAAAATATTGGTGAATTGTCAACAATCATCACTCCATTATGTGTAATGTATATGTATTATGTTTAGAAAATAATCAATTAAAAAACACTTTTTATATTTTGGGATAGCTGTGTCTTGTTCTGATTGTTATGCAGCACTTAAAAAAAAAAAAAACTTTGACAAACTTTGTTTGTCAAAGCCGCTGAATTTATGCACCCTGTGCGTTACAGAGCAGTTTATAATGGTGACACGGATCTGTCTCTTGTAACTCGTTATTTTTCAGTGTGTGTGTTTAAAGTTGTAAAGGGAGCATAATTTACCCCTACCACATTTGTTTTCTAAAATAAGAGAATAGTTTTCAGTGTCTAAACCGAAACGACTAAAGTTGAAAGAAAACACAGATTTACAAATTTGCAGAAAAAAAGTGCAACACACAAATATCCCAGGCGAATACGATCTAGTGTCTCACAAACTTGTGACTAATGTCGCTGCCATCTCTCTAGCTACTTAACGGGACATTGCAGCTTTCTAAATCGCGACCGTCTTCTCTACCTGCCCAATAATACCGAGATCCACACCAAAGGACACTTAGTATGTAACATACATGTAAGCCTTTGGACGAGGCTCACCCCAGCCAGCATTGCAATTCCTTAATAACATTGTTTGCTGCTCACCTCTGCTCCTTGGGCCAGCTCCAGTTTATTCACACGAATGAGGTCTAGAACTGTTCTTCCTTCCTCATTTCCTTTTATACAGTCATTGGGTAGACCTGATTTGTACGGTCCGATTTTGCACATGCGCAGTAAGGATCGGGGAGTCCTGATCCGTAGCTATCTTTTTATTTTTCGTTTTTGTCTACATTATATTGCAGTGTTTCATTACTGCAAACATTTTAACATATACTTATTATTGTTAACATCTAAACAGATACTCTGACCCGTAACTATCGCAAAATGCTTTGAGCGGAAGTACCGATCAGGGTTTCCGGTACGGATCGGGTAGCAAAAAGCAAAAAACAAAAACAGTTGGTATATTTCAGTTGCACTGTCTCCTCGTGGGGTGTCGTAACTATTTACCCCGTACATATGGGATTTGTACGGGGTTTTGTACGCTTGCTGCAGTCTCACACTGACAGGAAAACCACAGCAGCTATACATCACTTCAGCATAGTGCATCACAGCAAACTTTACTACAATACTGCAGAATAACTAGCACAGCCGACACCTCACTGCTTAGTACCCACAACTTGATTTCCTCCTTCTTTCTTTGTTTCTCTCTCTTTTTTTTTTTTACATTTTAAAAATCCTGTCCCATCTACTTTAATTATGATATGAATGCACTGTGTGCATGCGCAAATTCTACGTCACTTCCTCTCTTTGCCAACATTGTGACAGTTTATGGCCCTTTCTCAATTCTCAAGTACGCGAGTACGTACTCGCGTTCTCGGCGGGTACGTACTCGCCGAGAACGCACGGGAGTACGGACTC